TATTACAATACGTCTAGACCACACTCACACCCACGCTCTCAAGAAAAATTTTAAAATATACAGTTTCGTAGAGCTCAACAGGCTCTATCAAACCATATATAAATCGCGAAAAAAAATATTAGTCGATTTTTGCATTTGCTGCACCTTATAGTCTTTTAGATATTAGCTGATTGATTTTGTTTCTATTTAGTTTGCACTTTTGTCTGATTTTTGTTCAATCGCTCGAGACATGATTTCTCATATTGAAAATGATGTTGGAAACAGTAATTTTATTACCACTTATCTTCTTACTGACACACAAATTGAATTCGAAGTGAATAGTACGACGGAATCTTTTAAAAACAGTGCATCTGCTCGAATAGTTATGTTCTTAAGCTATTTAAGAACAACTATACGGGGGAACTACTTAGTGTCAGCTCTTAATACAAATTTAATAGCTGAAATACCCACCGACTGGAATAGGATTGATATAACTGGATTCTCAGTGGGGTATCGTTGTACAAGTGGAGATGTGTCCTGTAATCGGGATAATCCAACCAGTGCAGCTACTCTCAATCCTCTGTTAAATGATTACATGACTAGGGAACGTATACAGACATTCGAATCGATGCCAAATTCTACAATTGTCAATGGATTTTTTGCAGCATGTACTCCTCTCGAAGCTCTTCTTCAGAGTACACTCGATTGTTTATATGAAATCGAGTGTCTGCACTTATTATCCGATTATTTTCCAGTTCTTAATCATGTATGTATAACACTCTTTTAACTTTCATACATATTCATATTGTCTAGATGGATGTTAACTGGACCGACTCTGTTCTGACTTCGAAACAACAAAATCTTTCTGTGAACGACTATTTCAATAATCTTTTTATTGAAGAATGGTTGCCACAAATAAATTATTCAGAGTATTTTAATGAATGTCAACCTTCAGTCTGTACATACACGGCAACAGATCGAGCTAATATTTCATATGCAATTACTCTTTTCATTAGTCTATATGGTGGTCTCGTGATAATACTTCGTTTAATTGCATCATTTTTGGTAAGTGTCTCATTAAAATTCAAACATCGTTCAAGAAACGCACGTATGCATTTCGGTAAGTTTTTCGGATATACTAAGAAAAAGTTTCATCATAAATATAATTTATATTCAATTTGTAGTGTGTCACAAAATATATCTACGTAAATTTTGTCGATTGATGAAACGATTAAACTTGTTTAAGAACGTCAATAAGCGAACAGAAAACAATATCAAACAACAAAAGATTATCACACGTATTTATTTGATTTTACTAACTGGTATAGTTACTTTTACTATGTATACGTGAACTTAGATACTAAAATATTCAATAGTCAAATGTAGATTGTCAGATGATTAAATAATGAAAGATGTACATGAAATATTGTTGTTATTCAATATTTGAACATCTAAACTGCCAATATTGATTAATATAATATCTGACTTTCTGATTAAGATCTCAAAGATTAGATACAATTATCAAGTTTCGCACGATTGAATCTTACATAAGATATTGTATAAAAGAGTTCTGATGTCTGAGTTGAGGTCTATGTTGATGAACTACTAAAGTTTCTCATTTTTTTCTGTTTATCACTTAGTAGTCTGATTTATCATCAATCCATATCTTTTTATCATTCATAAATTGCAGATTGCTTCGAGTTGAACAAAAATAAGTTCATTGTCGACATATTAAGATTGTTGAATGTTATTTGCAATCTTTCTATCGAAGATATGTTTATAATAACATGTTTATTTTTTGTTTTTTCTCATTAGGTTCAATTATTGTGCTTCTTCTCTTCAATTCATTGAGTACTCAAACAGCTAAGGTGACTATTCCAAATCCGTCATTAGATATGTATGAAAATTTACAAACGTTACACTCAACTACACTCAGTTGTCCTTGTTCAACTAAGACAATCTCTTATCGTTCATTTGTTTCATTATCTCCAACATTGCATCAAGTGTGTTCAAGTGGTTTTGTTACTGATGATTGGTTTACTTTATTACAAAGAAGTATCAATATATATTATCCTAATGATTGGCGTAATCGAGCTCAGACACAATTCCAATTGTTGTTTGGCTTTTGTCAACGGGCTAATAAAACGATTGATGATAGTGTTGATCGTTTTCTGAAGCAGTTCTTTATCGCTTCAACTGTATTTAATGAAAACGATTTCGATACACAACTGAATGTAACTCTCAGACAATTTTATAATTCCACGACTTTTGACTGTAATCTTCAGAACGACGTTGTACATCTTTTGTTCCAAGTCGATCAGCCTTATATGGGACCATTAATGGCTGGTATGGATTACTTGTATACTAACCTAATCATAACCAATATAGAAAATGAAATAAACAACCAGTCCTTACCACAGGTGTGTTATTTTATAGAATAATGAAATGTTGTCTGCTTTCTTCTCAAAAATACAGTTATGAAAGCCTGTTTTGTTTGTTGCTACTAACAGAAACAATCAGAACTGTGTATAATTAAAAAGTACTAGTGTCATAAGAAAAAACTGATTGATAATCCTACATGATATATTTATCTGATGTTTTTCGATATAAATATTCGAAGAAACATGTCGTTATACTTGTTCTTGTTATATGCTAGTTGTTTTTCAACATAAAACTGCCATTTAAAAGATAGTGCTAGGTAAATGCGATCCACAATTATACCTCAAAAAAATCAGCATAATTGTAAAAGCGATGTAGAATGATTTTTTAAGCATGACTGTAGATTTTATTAAGTGACGATAGCAGAGCTTTGAGTAAACTAAATCAGGCTTAGAAAATTGGACCTCTACGATTCATCCCAAGTTATAGTAGCGCACCTAGAACAAGTATTAGAGTGAGCACAACTCCTTTCAAGCTACTTTTCGAGAATATATTAATCCATGCCTAAAATAATAGAATGATATGGCATTAGAATATCAATATGTGATAGATTTTATATAATCTCCATTGTACTTTTCAGAAGCTGATTCATACGAAAGGTATCTCAATCCATTTCGTTCTTATATAATTTTGCAAAAATCAATTGATAGCAAAACGTAAATCTTTCTTTTTATTTCTAGGTATCATTTATTTTACCTGGCATTCCAGAAATCAATTCGACAGTGCTCACATGTGTTTGTTCAACTGACCCTCATTGTCAAGGTTCAAACGTCATTTATACTCCTGAATTGGTTGGTGGCATGTATCACCTTTATGTGATACCATCTTCGATTCGAGGTTGTCTAAATAGTGATTCTCTGCTGCTCTCAACCTTACAATGTTTGTATGCAGATTCAGATTGTTTTCTAATTCTACTGAGTTACTTAGAAAAGTCTGATATTTCCAGTGAGTTGAGAATATCGTTATATGATATTAGTCCTTTAATCAATGATCCAACACGCAGTCGTTTTCCTCCAAATACTTCAGTTTCAACTATAGTTGAAGAAATGATGATGGAACAATGGAATGTATTTTTGTCATACAAGGACTTTTACGAATCATGTGCACCGATTTATTGTACATATTCTGAAAAAATTCGTAAAAAGACTATTGCGGGAATAATTATAACAATGATGTCTGTGATTGGTGGACTTGTTGTCTCACTACGCCTTATCACACCGTATCTTGTCCAATTTTTCTTTTACTTATGGGTAAAGATTAGCAAAAGACAACAGAACCAACAACAAGACGAACAAGGTAAATATTGATCTGATGTCTATAAAAAATATTACAGAGCAAATGTATTAATACAATAATGATTTTCATCTAATATAGTTTAGATAAGATGAGAAGAAACATAAGAAAAATTCATGCGTGATCTTAGATGATACTTTGTAAATGATATTCGAAACCAACAACTACAATTTTTTAAAGCGGATTCGGCACATTTCAATGATATTTAAATCTATGTCACATCTATTCATTAATCTTCAGTTATGCTCATGATCTAAGAATTAGCAATTCAAGAAGTTCAAGAGTTATGTCACTAGAAATCTAATAATTCGAGGAAATTCAGAGGTTTCATAACTTATGCCATTTAAAGAAGCATCCATGTAGAGGAGTGTGAGATTTACACAAATGAAACATATATAAAGTTTGATTAAATTAAAAGCAAAAATAGTAGAAGGCGCAAGTATTAGTGCTGGTAAGGAGTTGAAGAAGGATTCAATTTATATGCTCATCTCTAAAAGTGATACTCATCTTCTAGCGAGATAGATCATCTTCATTCACATTTACATACCCCGTTTCTCATCGATCGACACTCACCATCAAAAATGTATAACTTGTTTTTGTGTGTATAGTTCATGGAAACTGGTTCGATCGATTCAAAATGGCTATGAGAAATGTAATCAAACTTCTCTGTACCACTCTCATCAATCTAAACATATTTTCGTTGAATGATATTGGTAGTAATGTTGATCCGATAACAGCTAAACGTCTTGGTCGATGGGCAACTCGTCTGTATATTGCTTTATTTATCTGTGGTCTTAGTATTCTTACAGTATATAACCTAATTCAACCACAAATGATGACGAAAACGTTTGATAAACCGTCTTTCAATGTTTACAAGAATCTGAAAAAGCTTTATGGCGATGAATTAAAATGTCCATGTTCAGTAATTGCATCAGTATATAGTCAGTTTATAGAAATTGAGCCGATATTTCATGAGGTAAGATAAGATAATAATATTCATAGTCTCCTCAACAGTATTTCCATTGATTATTTTCTGAGACCATCATGTACCGTTCGAAAAAAAATAATTAGTATAAACTTTAAGTCGACATGTTGCGATTTTCTCGCTCTCTTCTCTTTTATAAATCTTATCAACCGGAATGAAAGCCTAATGATCATTGAGAATTGACTATTTTGTAACGACTAATGGCAACAAACACTAGACCACTTTTTCATAATTCTATAGCAAAAATAATAGTGTCGAATGACGTTAATAACAAAGGGTTATAGTGTTCTACAAGGATAAGTAAAAGTGAGTTCTCATCCATCCGCTCTTTTCCTAACACGAATGTTAAGCCGATATCCATGATTGAAACATCTAGAGAATAAAAAATCACTCAATTTAGACAATTAGCTAATAAACTAAAATCTAAATCTGAAAGCTTTTTTCAATACACAAAACGCAAAGCGCAAAGGAAAAAGATTTCGATAGTATATTGTACATTTATTACTAACAAAATGGTTATAATAAAGAAAAGAAAACTTTTCAGAAGTCAGCAGGTCGGATAAAACACTTATCATAATATATGATTGCGTTCTCGAGTATTTTCGAAAAGATTTCATCATTTATTGACAGAAATGAATAATGTCTACTGAAATAAAAGGCTGTCTACCTGGTCACAGTATCGTTGTAAAAAAGTCGAATGTTATTTCAGAATAGCGTCCTTCCTTTTCTTTTTCTTATTATTTGAAGATCTGCTCGAGTCCATTCGCATCGAAACAATGGCGAACTGATCTTACAGCTGGTCTTGCTGCTAATTTGTCGATTTATACACGAAGAGACTATCGTCGTTTTCTTTCTGCTCATCTACAATTTCTCGAAGGATTATGTCAACTTTCCATGAATGCAGTGAACAATTCGATCAATCAATTTCGTACCTCATTACTTGTCACTTCTGAACTTCTTTCAGAAACAAATTTTAATCAAACACTTGAAGCGTTGATGGAACAGAGTAAATCAAATGCTCCTACAACATTCCGTCATCTTCTTTCTTTAATTCGAACTGTCACTCATGGAAATGCTTTCATGTCAACATATGGAACAACTTTCGAATACATTGTATCCAAGGATACGACTGATAAATTTTATGCGCCCACTCGAGCTCTAATCTATGATGATGAATGTTCTTGTGGGTTATGTTCAAATTGTACAACTCAAGCAAATTTTATTATATCCAATTCTTCTAAAATAATTTCAATTCCAGTTAAAGGTTTAAAAATAGGATGTACGCCAAGTGAATCATTTCGTGCTTCGACTCTTGAATGTTTTTATGATAGTTCATGTATTAATCTCATTCAAAAATATACTAATTACAGCAATTCTCATCATCCTCTCTCTATAATGAAGAGTCGTTTCTCAACTAACACTAAAATAGCTGAACTTATTGATAATCTATTCATTGAACAATGGTCAAATAAGACGAATTATACATCTTATTTTCAACAATGCTTACCATCATATTGTTTCTATACTAGTGTTCCAAGATTCAACTTACTCAATATAATCACTCTTTTACTTAGTCTTCAAGGTGGTCTCGCAATCATTCTTAAATGGACTTGCCCCAAAATAGTTCGAATTGCATCTAAAATAAATGATTATCGAAAAAAGCAAAGGAATACTATTCGCCCTGTCTGTGTTCTTGAAAAAACATCCAGTGATATTTCTAACACAATCATCGAAAATGCTACTACAAATACAGAGACAAATTTAACACTAGAAACATCTTCGTATGTCTTTTTTTATTTTTATATGATTTGTAATTTAGACTATATTTTTATTAGCACAATTATCGATAGATCAGTTCCATGTACTTCCAAGGTCGTCTTCGGATGTATACTAATCGCTTGTGTAATAGCAGCTTTGATTATTTTTTCATTTTATACCGTGCGACAAGGTAAGAATAGAATTGCGAACGCAAGTACAAATGTTTTAACAACATATCACATCATACCCATTTCAAAACTTCAAATGAGTTGAATTCAGAAAGACAAAGTTGATCTAGATAGTTTTCCGATGCAAGGAAAGAGAATGTAGGATATTTTTCAATTTCATTGTATCAAAGGAATATGAAGCATTCTTTTGAATAATCTTGATATTTAAGCCGAATCAAATATTTAACAGAATATTTATTAAATATGTTTTCACTAGCTTCCTCGATCAATACGACAAATGATACTAATTTGAATCCAACAACAAATACAACAATGTCAACATTTTCAAGCACAGCAAGTCAGTAATTTAAATCAAAAAATTAATATGCACTAGTTCTCACACTATAACTTTTAAGATAAATTCTTCTAGTTAGATGTATTCGTTACTTAGTAATATAACAATACAATCTCGTCCTTATTTCAATGATTAGAATTATTTTAAAAACTCTGTTAAGACTAACGACAGGACATATTTAAATACGTTTATGTGTTGAGATAAAGCATCTCGAATACCAACATTTTAGCTATGCGTCACATCTTGATCATTGGCGACTCATTTTATGGGGCTGTTTTTTTAAAACTTGTAGAAAATATCATTTCTTCAGTAAACATACTATATAAATCGGAAATTCGATTCGTTTTCTGCGAATTTTAGAAGTATCACCTAATGAAGTGAAGCGTCATCGAATATGATACGATCTTATAGGAAAGATGTTCAATAGTGCGATGTTTTAGACATTAACAAAAGTAGCTAAAACGTTGATATCTGAGATACTACACATGTCGCAACACAATAGAATGCTTTTAAGCTCTATTTCAATGGACGAGGGCACTTACATATATTCCTTCGTAGGTGCATAACACCTGATGTTGTTTTAGCTTGCATAAATCTCTTCTCATATACTTTCAGTTCGAGAATGCCGAAAAGTAATTCTTTATTTTCTTTTTAATAGCGCCACTTTGCAAGTTAGAATTCCGAACGATATCGATGAACATATCTGATTTTGATTATACACCACGCGGATTTGTATTTGCTGATTTTAATGATGATAATCGGCTTGACCTTGTATTTTATTCTAAATCTTATACGACTCTGAATCTACTTTTTGGAAATGGTAATGGAAGTTTTGGAGCAGAGAATATTATTCCAATGAAAAGTTTTAAGTTCTTGTCTTATATTGATGTTGGTGACTTCAATAACGATAATCGCTCGGATCTCGTTTTAGTCAATGACACCCATCTTGGTGTTTTCTTTGGAAATGGCAACGGAGTTTTTGGAGCACTTATTAGATTTGAACTGGGAAAGGAATGCACGCCAGTTGACATCACTGTAGCTGACTTCAATCATGACAATTACTCAGATATCGCTGTTGTTAGTGCGGATAGTAATAATATTTGTGTGTTTCTAAGAAAAAGTAACGACAATTTTTCATCGCCATTTATTTTTTCTACTGGACAAAATAGTGAGCCTCAATCATTAATTGTCAGTGACTTTAACGGTGATGGTCACTTAGATATTGTTGTGAGCAATAATAATGCTGTGAATGTTGGTGTATTTGTTGGGTGTGGTAACGGAACTTTTGAAGTACAGAAACAGTCTTTCACTTTCTATGGTTCCAATCCGACTAATCTAGCAGTCGGTGATTTTGATGGTGACACTTATCCAGATGTTGTTACCTCTAATATTGGCGACAACGTTATTTGTGTATTGTCTGGATATAATAATGGAATTTTTAACATCAGCCAGAAGTTTTCTATAAAATCTGTTTTGACAGCATCTTCAGTTACTGTAGGTGACTTTAACTGTGATGGTCATTTGGACATCGCTATTGGAACGACTGATCCATATGGCGTAGATGTGCTACTTGGGTATGGAGATGGTCATTTTGATACGCAAACAATATTTCGGCCTGAGACTGTTGATGAAAATATTTGGATCGCTGTTCATGATTTTAATGGTGATACTTATCAAGATATAATTGCTATAGATGATCACCTTAATACTATAGATATTCTTTTAAACATATGTGAATGTTGCACGCATGAAATTCTCAAGAAAAGCAACTCCAGTCTCCAATAATTCTAACAACTTTGATACTTATAAGTCTCTAACATAACAGAAATCAATCAATAAAACTTTTATTTCTGAGAAAAGTATGACACGTAGCTTTATCTCCCCTCAAATCATTGTAATTAATAACTTCTTTTTGTTTTTCTTTTCACAAAATATTAAAGAGAAACAACATCTTGATAAGACGACATATATCTTGTGAAGTTCTCTTGTATACTTTTATTTTTATGTTCTTCATCTGTTGCTTACTACTTTACTATACTTTACTTTTTATTCTATTGCTTATTTGTGAATTTCTCAAGCTATAATATAATCATGAAATCTCCTTTCTAAGTCTGTAAGTCAAAATATCTATGAGAATTTGTTACAATTATCAGTTATTCACATAGTTTCTAATAAGTAAGGAAAAAAAACGGGTAGCTATTTATTAATGCTATTTGTAGGATGTACAAAGCTTTTTCTTTCATTATCGATAAAATCAATACAGAACATGCGTAACAATTGAGACATCATAATTTCAACTTGAGTCAAGATTAGACTTACGAAATATTCATAAATGATTTTAAAACGCTTGTTAACACAACTACGGTAGATTTAAAATGCAGAATTAATGTACTGCAATCGGCAATAACATGTTAATAACTCTGTAAGATTAATCGGTTTGTATTTCTTCATTTTGGATGTGAATACATTTCTATTATCATTTCACTATCGATCTGTCTTTCTTTATATTTCTGTTAAGTGTTCGTTTGTGATCTGTCATTTTTCTTCTATATTTATTGAACCAATAATTTGACCACAGATTCTATGTCTGAATGGATTTTATTTTGTATTTGAATGAAGCTTCACATGCTGATAGTGAGTGTGGGTGGATCTATAGATTTTACTGGATGAATGCAGATGTAAATTATATATTAATTTTGCAATCACTGCACTTTTATCCTCATCTAGCATACCTCATACCTACACCCTCAAGATTTGACTACGCATTTTTGACCGAGATCTTCATGGACTTGTAGTCAAAAACTTTATCTCGAAAGAACTAATTGATTATCTAATACGTTCAACAACTCAGGTTTCTGCTCATGAAATCAAGAGCATCAATCGACTGAAAAATAGCTATATTGGTTTCAAATCTGAATTCAATCACAACCAGAACATTTTCTTGCAAAAATAAATCATAAAATGGTGATCAAAATGTTTATATAATTCTAAATGTCATTCTCATGCAGCGTCTCAAAAAAATCTTTGATTTCATTCTTCGCGTTGTACACTAGTCTGATATTTTGTGACAAATGACGGGTGTGGGTGTAGATAAATAAAAGATGAATTCACACCTACACTCACGTCCTCAAAAAAATAGTAGATAAAACTTGATCTTCTGATAACATTTATCTACTGTGCGTTTCTTTCACTGTATACTTATGTTTCACTTCATTTTCAGTCACACTTATGATGATTATTGTAGAAAATGATGTACAACACAGTTCTCTTTCAGTAATTTTATTTGCCTAACTGACAGAGTAACGACCATAGTGCTTTTTTCATTTCGTTTACTTTATATCTACTATTTCGAAATGCCCACTTCTCGACGTTTTATACAACACTACATAATATTTCGCATGTTGATATTAAGTAGTAAAAAAAATTTATAAGAACGACAAACAACTACTAATTTAAATAATTTCCTCTGTATTTCATGTATTTGGTCATAGAAATAAATAAATAAATATAAGTGTTTTATGTTTGACCAGCAATTTTTGTCAATTTTTACAAATTATAATGTCTACGATTATACAATTATTTCCAGCTTTCGAGTCTTTAATAACATCAGACATGAGAGCAGAAAGAAAACAGCCCTAGAGACTGATTTTCTCTTCGTCAAAATACCTAGTAAAATTTCTTTTCGCGTTTTTTGTAGTGAGCAACAATCGTAAAAAATACTTCACTATTTCTTTTTCGTTCTCTTCTTATTACTTAGGAATGTTTATGTTGATCTTCATTTGTTTTTCATAACAACATCTACAATCGTTAATGCAAATGGCGTTGTTGTCCAATTCATAAAAATAGAAAAAAATCTATATAAGAGGTAGACACCTTATAAAATGAACCACTTTCATAATTTCTTCATTCACAATTTTAGCCAAGCTAGTCAAATACAAAACATTCGTATTAAAAGTAATGGCAAATAAGAACCCAACAGCTGCTACCGCATTTAGTAATGCAAAACATGTTGAGCCAGAATCTGATCTCTCCACGAATACAACTGTAAATCGACGTATGAACATGCAAAGAACGCAAAATGTCGTTTTAATTTGGTTAGACAACAATATTGATGATAATAATGCCGATCGCAGTAATACAATCAAGCAATTAAAACGTGTAGTTAACAACGTAAACACATTTACAGATAGTGAACAATGCGTTGAATTTATTCAAACCATTACCGACAACAAAATATGTATGATTATCTCCGAGTCACTTGGGAAACATGTTGTGCCTCATGTGCATAATATGTCCCAAGTACACAGCATTTTTATTTTTTGTAATAATCAAGAATGTGATAAACAATGGGCTACAGAATCGCCTAAAATAAAAGGAGTCTTCTCAGATATAACATCAATCTGCGAAGCTCTTAAACAAACTGCTTTCCAATGTGAGCAAAATGCCATCTCCATCAGCTTTGTGGCACCAAACAAAAAGTTAGATCAATTAGATCCATCATTCATGGATACTCAGATCTTGAAAGAGATCCTATTAACCATCGACTTCGAAGATGAACATGTTAAAGAATTTATTACTTATTATCGTGATGCATTTGTCGAAAATGAGTATGAATTACATAATATTGAAAAATTGGAACGTGACTATCATAAACAAACACCTATTTGGTGGTATACTTATGAATATTTCTTATATTCGACGCTCAATCAAGCATTAAGATTAATGGATGTTGATATTATTGTTCGAATGGGTTTCTTTATTAAGGATTTACATCGTGATATTCAACGACTTCATTCGGAACAATTTCATGGTCAACAATCTGGTGAAACATTAACAGTTTATCGTGGACAATGTCTTTCAAAAGAAAATTTCACCGAAATGACAAAAACTAAAGGTGGACTTCTTCGATTTAATAACTTTTTATCGACTAGTACAAGTCCTGGTGTTTCTCTCTGTTTCGCACCACAAGCTACTACAAATCCTGCTCTTGTTGGAGTCTTATTTGTTATGTCAATCAATCCTACTCATTCAACAACACCATTTGCTTCTGTTAGTGATGTTAGTTATTTTCATACAGAAGATGAAGTTCTCTTCTCTATGCATACCATTTTTCAGATTGGAGATAGTAAACCGATAGATGAAAATAATTATCTATATCAAGTGAACCTAACACTGACCAATGGCAACGATCCAGACCTTCGTACCCTTACTGATCAGATACGGCAGGAGACCTTTCCAGGTGAAGAAGGATGGTACAGATTGGGATTATTACTGATGAAAATGGGTCAGTCTAACAAGGCTCAAGAAGTTTATGAAGTTTTACTTCATCAAGCAACGAATGAGAATGTCAGGGCAAATATTTATCATCAACTAGGTTGTATCAAAGATAGTCAAGGAGAATACCAAGAAGCGCTAACATATCATAAAAAATCACTTACTATCGATCAAAAAACACTTCCTTCCAATCATACTGATTTGGCTAACTCGTACATGGGTATCGCTAACGGGTACTACAGCATGGCTGATTATTCAAAAGCACTTTCTATTTATGAAAAAGCCCTTGCAATTCGACAACAATCACTACCACTCAATCATCTCCATTTAGGAGATTCCTATAACAGAATCGGCATTGTATACGACAGCATGGGTGATTATACAAAAGCACTTTCTTATTATGAAAAAGGCCTCGAAATTCGACAAGAATCACTTCCTTCCAATCACCCTGATTTGGGTGCTTCCTATAATAACATCGGGTTCGTGTATTATAACATGGGTGATTATCCCAAAGCACTTTCTTATTACGAGAAAGATGTTGCAATTCTACAACAATCACTTCCATCCACTCATCCTGATTTCGGCGATTCTTATACTAACATCGGTTTGGTGTATTGCCAAATTGGTGATTATACAAAAGCACTTTCATCTCATGAGAAAGCCCTTACAATTCGACAACAAACACTTCCTACCAATCATCCAGATTTAGGTACTTCCTATATCAACATTGGTAGTGTGTATTATAGGATGGGTGATTATTCAAAAGCACTTTCTTATTATGAAACAGCCCTCGCAATTCAACAGCGATCACTTCCTTCTAATCATCCTGATTCGGGTGCTTCTTACATAGGCATCGGTTTGGTGTATGACAGCATGGGTGATTATCCAAAAGCACTTTCTTATAATGAAAAAGCCCTTACAATTCGACAACAGTTACTTCCTTCGAATCATCCTGATTTGGGTGCTTCCTATAACAACATCGGTGCGGTGTATGAGAATATGGGCAACTACTCAAAAGCTCACTCATTTTATGAACGTGCTGTAGAAAATGGGCAACAATCATTACCATCAAACCATCCAACTCTTCAACAACGGAGAAAAAACCTCGAAAACATGAAAAAGAAATTATAATTTCTTTCTGTATTTTTTTGAAAGTAAAACAAAGCTGATGAAAAAGAAAATATGTCTGTTGAAGTTATGTTCTTGTTGAAAACACAATATAAGCAGTAATACTCACCGGTAACATAAACAATACGTGTTGAAAAGATATGTATTGTAGAAAAAACCTTCACAGTTACATTATTATGTCTGAACGAGTACAGTTTCGTTGTGTTAGATAATAAAAAAGATCCTCAACAGAAATATGGAAGGATAAAAAGTTTATTTTATCAATAGAGTGAGTTGTTCTTTCTGTTCAATATTGAAGAGTAGTTCATACTATTAATAAACTCATCCATATTAAATGAATAGAACACCTATATATATGTACGAAAGTAATTGAGAAATAGAGCCATTACTTTCATATATGAATATATATATAAGAATCCTATTCATTTTCCTATCAACTTTGAATTCAATCATAGTCTTTTTCACTGATGATATTGAATGATAACAAGAGTTTATATAGACGAGAAAAATTACGAATTCTTCAACTGGAAATGACTGAATGAAGGCTTCCGAGAAAGTCAAGTGAAATGTTTTGACTATAATAATATATGAATCGATTTCTGACTACAAATCATTCTCGGAAAATTTTCGAAGCTAGTATCAATGTGGCTGTGATTAGTTCATGACAATAATTAATGAGTATCTTAGTCGTTGTTAAACATGTCGAGTTTTATTTTTTATGAGCATGTTCATATCATACTGATATCAGACTAGTATGGAAATAACCATCTAAGAAAATGGAGGATATGGTCTTTATTCTAAAAATATTCTCTAACATGAACAATATATTGATATTCTGGAGCAGAAATAAAGAGGTCTTTAAAACTGTTGATTGTTTATTTTTTTGTTAGCATGTGGGCAAAAAGCAAATGATCTCATGAGAAAATCATGTCGATTTGAATAAAACTTTATACAAAAGTAGAAGATATGTTAATTTCTCAGTGTGATTTCGTTTATAAACCTGTATGTCAACAAAATCTATACAAGTTCGACAGCTTATAAAAGATATTGCTCTTTGAACTGCAGAGATGCATCAAAAACTTGTTCTTATTAACATCTGTGTATATGTTTATATATTCTGTTAGAGAAGCGTGGATATAAATAGCTGGTAGTATTTCATCTTCCTCCTGAAAACTCAATATCTCAAAGAAAAAAGACCGAATACAATATGAATTCTTTTCAAAGTTTTCACACTTCGTTGATATCCATTTATGATCGGAAGATAGAATTCAAACGATTGGAACATGTCAATATATTCCCCAGTTTATCTATATTTTGTAGCTCTGACTTGCTTAATATCAAAAGTATTTTCTTATTCTACAATTAATAATAGTTCTGCTTCATTAACGAAATGGCTAATGTATAAGAGTTTATGTAGAACTACTTTAGCACAAGTAAAAAAATTTTTTCAAGAATTGAAGGATGGAAGTGCTCTCTTCCTTGATTCTTTATTCACGACAGGCTTCATCAAGATCAAAAGTAACAAAAAAAAAACCTGCTCGCATAACACTTTAATAATTCCTGAGGCTATTCGAATATTTTGGTCTATTATAATCGAATGTCGTTTCCAAGCGACATTCTTCTTAGGATACCATGATATATCACAAAGATCGGCTAAAAAAATCTTAGTAAATAATCATTAAATATAACACAATCATTTGTTTTGCTCTGAATTTCAGCACTCTGTATATAGACTTCTGGACATATCTAACAGAAGAAATTTTAATTAACTATATATGTATATTTGTTATCAATTGGTAAATCGATTATGACAAAGATTGACAGCTATACTATGACTAGTATATTTTTAAAGAAATAATATATTTTATGATTATATATTCTGTTTTTATTAGGCTCTTTCTTGTTCATTTTGAATTATTTGATGAACATGTAATAGCATGCAATCAATTCTTCTTTTCTCTCTCTCTGTGTATTATATAATCAGCATTTGTGTTACTTCAAGTATAAATTGCTCCTTTCATATTTTTGTATTGAAATATAGCATTAGTAGGTAGAGAATCAATACAATGATATTCAAATTTATATTTTTTCGACAAGATATGAACAGAATGAATTTCTATATAAAATCAGTTGAACTA